AAGAATTGTAATTTGTTATTGAAAATATTTTCTATCTAGCTCACAGTTCAGATAATGAGGAAATCAGAAAAAATGTTTAAAACTAGTGATGATGTTTATAAAGAATAATGACATAAATGTCATTATTCTTAATCTAATCTAATCTATCTAGCTCTTAACACAATTCATCAAATGGACGAATCGTAAAGTACCAAGACATTTAAAAGTGGCCGGATCATATAATAAAAATGACAATTTATAATTAATGTGGTTATCGCTATTGTCATCCTTTTATTTGGCATCATAATTTTGGGAAAAGTTTTTCAAACAATTTATATACATTCAATTAAATCAAGTGATGCAATTGGCAGAGCACAATACACAGGAAATTGTCCACTGCTATCAATATTATATATGAAATATTAACAATCAAATATATACACATCTACTCCATCATAGTGGCAGGGATGAGGTTGTAAGAGACTTCTGATAAAGAGGTCTCACATTTTTTGTCCATTTTCTTGCCTCTGTAACCTCGTAGAGCAATGAGCGTTGTTCTTAACATTGTAAATCTTATTCTTTTCTTCACATGCCTTACCACATCGCAATATCTCTCTTTCCTTTTCCTGGCTATGAGGTCTGCCAATCTGTTTACAAACCGCTTACATCAAATATTTACACTATTAACAACTATTACACACTGATTTATAGAAAATTATATAATATATAACGGCCTGCCATTATACGGTACAAATATAATTACTAAGTGCTTGAGATAGAACTAACAGCCCAGATTTTTGATCGTTCTGCCCAATGCCAAACATTGAGTGAACTCGTAAACTGGAATTAGATTGTTATCAGGATTTCAGTAACCACTGATGGAGACCTAGCAACTGTGTCAGGCTGTAAGTCCACAAGGCTCCCCTCTGGCGGCCCACACTTGGATCAAATCTCATGTAACCAGTGCCATGAACAGAACCCTGTTAACCCACCCATAGCATCATACGGTACATCCCCTGCCCCACTGGCTTTCCCCAGCAAGTCGCTCCTCTTTAGTTTCAAGACAAGTAATAGTGAAGATACGACATGAACTCCCACAGGGACATGACACAGGTGATATGCATGGCGGTGCACCGTGCACTTATTAAACTCTTTCTTCAGAATCATATCAGTGAATATGCTTACATTTGCACCGGCTGCTGGGAGCCCATTCGTGTTAACGAACTCATACTTCTTACATCGCGATCTTACACATAGTGTATTTCCTCTGGGGGTTATCCTGTGTGGTGCTGCCCGGTACCGGTGCTGACAGTGACACATACACTCCGTCCTACCACTCCCAAACTATCCCTCCCTGCATACTCTCCAGCTCACGTATAGTCCAGTTTCTTCCTTCGTTCTGGAACTACTTCTTCTTCTGTAATACCTCAATTGTTGGGTGTGAGCGCGGTGTCACCCAACTTCCATCACCACTGATCCTTGTGTACTCCCATATGCGTCAGTGGTCGTTTGCCATACTCGAAATCATACCTACAATATTTATTATGTACCCGTGATAATTTAAATTTCAAGTCCGTATTATTGAAATTTTGATCCGAACTTTTGAAGAAAACACCTTTACATATTACTTTATAAAGGGGATATTATAGAATAACGATTTTAAAATATAATTGATAATTAAAAAGCGAGTTACCATATTGTAATAAAACTTAATAGAGAGATCATGATTAAAACAATATATGACAAAATAAAATTAAAACAACACTAATTTTTAAATGATAAAATCTCAATAAAAATTCAATAACAATCCATAGAAGATCCGTCTGGAGTTGCCTTCAACGCAAAGTAAGGACAGACATCAAATATTGATTCTAATGGGGTCTCCCAGTTTATGGAAACACCTCTAGCACCCTCCAACACACAGCTGAATTCCCTATTGTTTATCAAGACAGGACTGTTAAAGCTCTCTACCATCTCATAATAACCCGTGCTCTAAATTAAGGAAATGCATTTTCTCAACTCATGTAACTCCTAACAATGACCGTCCATGAGCTCGAAAAGCCTTCATACGCTCTACATCACATCTATCTGAGACCCAGCAATCTAAAGATACCGATACCAGCTGCTCATTCAGGCAGAGAAAGAGCTGGATTACAGCTTCTTTCTCATGTATATGCTGCAATCCAAGTAACCGTAGCACAGTCACCAGAATCACATACCTCGTGGTAATTACTTATCAAACATCAAGTTCCCTGTTTCTGATCATTATCTTGGTCCAGTTTTGAGCCCTTTGTTTTCAATTTACACTCGTTCGCTATGACATCAACATTTTTTCTGGATAAGTTCACTTACAGGTATAGTGCTTTTTTCTAAAAATTGGAAGAATTGATATCGTCAAAAACAAAATAAAAAAAAAAATCAAAAAAAACAAAAAAAAAAAAAAAAACCCCCCAAAAAAAAAAAAAACAATCAAACCCCCCCACCCCACCCCACCATTGAATTATCATGTTCAATGCATGTTATGATCTTATTCACATGTGTAAAGCGTTGGGGGTAGATCAAGACCATTAGAAAGCATAACGCTATGGAACACTTGACAAAACCAAAAATCAGATGGATTTTATATAGTATCTATCGGTGTAGGAAGCGGCCAGAATGTTTATGTACAACTGACGAATCCACTAGGGAATGGACAAGATTTCCCAACAATATCTAACGCAAGATCTCGGACACGAGAATCCACCAATTATAAGCTATGTGAAGCAACAATTTAGTGAGCGCGTTCTGGAGAAAGCAGATCACAGGAGTTTTTGCACATTCTTAGAGATTGCTCAATTTTAGGAGTCAAATCGAAAGCAAGGCAAACGAATTCCACCGGCAGTCCTTGAGATAAGTAAAGAATGTAGACATGAACCATGTGTATGACCTCATCACATATAGAGTATGATGGCAGACTCTGAAGGAGGCATGATACTGACGAGATTCGCTCTTTGTCGATAATATCACTGATAAATTGATAGAGCTCAACGCTGTTCCCACATGTTGGCACAAGTCATTGTAGATAATGTCCATGTTTCTCTGGCATAATTTTGTGAAGCAAAATTGATTCTGCAGCATTTCGCCCCAAAAAAAATCGGCTTGTTCGGGACAATTCTTTTCAGACAAAACAGAGTTTGATACAACAGATGAAGATCACTAATGTTTTGAGCTTTAACAATGTTGGCTACAATCTTCTCTCCGTTGCCTTTAATTTCTGAGAGGATACTGGATAAATCGAAAAGTTTCGATACAACTGAACTGGTTGTAAACAGATCCGTTTCATCGTAATTTCGTTTTTGGCATATTCAATATCTTGAGAATCGTTAGAAGATTCCGGGCATCACACAGACATTGAAAGACCATATTAGCCTCGTATACTTGTTCAAAATTTATTAAATCCTCACGAACAGGAGAAATCAAACGAGGGAAATATTTTGTTTACAATTTTGAACTGCGAAATTCTGACAATCATATATCAGTATTCGTAAAAGCAATCAAAACATCGCACATAAACCTATCGTCCAATTCATACCTTCATAAGTCCCATGAACAAAACTCATGATCCTCCTGGAAGAAGACAAAAAGTTACAGTATCTAGCTAACAGGAACACAATCGCCTTTTTTCTGAGATAATTGTTCAAACTACTTTACAGCAGATTCCTCTTATTGTCTTTAAACATCGTATTAAATTTTACAACAAGACGCCATCAGAACCGTCAAATCATGAGATACTTCATGAGTCCCAATGTACAGATATCTAATGTTTCTGCCTGGAACTGATCAAGATGCACCAGAACATCTATGTTTCTGTCAAGCTGAATCCAAAGCGTGCAATACAATTTAGAGCGATCGTAGCTTTAACTTAACGTTGTAGATATTAGTGTGGATAATATCTCGTAGGAAGTAAGAACTTCTGATTCGGAAGATTGCATTGTTGGGAGGAGTCCAGTACAGACCGAATTTTGACGGAGATTGTTGTCACCCACATATCCAGGGTTCTAGCTGCCCTTTTCAGTTGTTAGAACAAGGTTAAGACATTTGTTATTAGCGCTTCTACTATTGACTAATTATTGATAGAATTAATAGAGATCATACTTTACCGTTTGCCTGAACTAATGATATGTTATTGCTTTATAAATGTAAAATATAACAAGGTAATGTTTTGATATAATATATAATATATAAAATAATATAAGTATTCCGATGCTTTTAAAAAATGATGATAACTAGATGCTCTATTGATTGAACTGATTCTAAAAATCTGAAGCTCGATAAAATAAGCGCTATAGTTATGGCCGTAGTAGTAAATTTCAAAAGTTACAAATTATATAAAAAATTAAATAAAACAGGAATTTATCGATCAGCATTAAAACTACTCTGATTTGTGGATATTAAATAGAATAATTGTATCTAGGGTAATATTAATAACACAAAATTAAATCCCGAAAAATTGTTTCAACGAAAATCAACTATCACTAAATATTATGGTCGAAAATATAAGTTTATATTAAATAAGTAAAAAGGACATGAAAATATTTTAAAACGTTAAAAAACATAATAATTATTACGTCAAATATTCGCCCACTAGATTTCTCGGGCGCAAGGATAAAAATGAAATGAAATTGATTCCTGAATCTAATTTAAAAGATAAGAACCAATCAAAACTATTCGCTTTTCAAACACAAATTCGGATTATAAGTTAAGAAATCAAGAACACAACAATATAAAGGTCAGGAAAATACAATAGCTGTACAGTCGGAACACACAGTACACATAATTCGGGCAACATAATATTCACACGATAATCAATCTGATATATGAAACAGATAAAAACTAATATATATTAATTAAAATGGATAAGAAATCTAATGTTACAAAAGCTATAGAACAGAGGATTTGTTCAACGTAACAGAGTCCTTATAGAGTCTAAACTTCTGAAGAAATTGATGGTTCTCAAGACTCCTAGACTGTACCCCATACTCTCAGAGATAGCATCGCAAATAGTAATCTTTCCCGTTTCCGTGCAGCTTTATAAACTCGTAACCCTGAGATGATATGGATTACTTAAAAAGTCTTACAATATAATAAATCAGTGCGGGCACAGTCTTAGCTTATATTGAGTCCCAACAAGCCCTCGGTCCGGTAGATTAACCAAAATACAAGAAGCTAAGTTAACTGTTTTAATAATGGTATTTACCTGAAAGAATGCAAGTGTCAGCCTCAGCGAGTGCAAACAATCTGCGGAATGGTGTTCAGATCCTCGTTCGCTGCTATCGTTATAGTCTTCCTCTAGCATTTTGGCCGCACTACATACGCATCAACTCAGATTCGATCATTGAGGCCCCTTTTCTGAAATTATTATATTAATTACATTATTACATTATTGAAATTATTATATTATTATTATATTATTAAATAATATGGACACGATCATAAAAAGGAGGCACAAAGAATGATTTTCCACTGCAAAATTGTGTGAAGCATTTTAAAATACTGTATCCAAGGAGTATGCTATGAAAGTTAACCAAATTTTTAATATGTGGTCCAAAAAGATTCAAATTATCACATAAGTAAGTCATCATCCTCTTTAATAACTTTAATTGTGCAGATGCAGATATGGCCCCGAAATCACAAAATATTCATTTTACTTGCACCACTAAGAAGAATTTACATTCTGTGAGGTGTGTCCTGCGATCTCAATGTATTATTGAACCTTTTTGGAGATAGTTTGAGTGTTAAAAGTGCAAAGTAATACCGGTTAAATAAATGTGGAGTTACGATGCAATTATCACACACAGGTAACTTCTTGCAAAGTTGTTTTAGAATATGGAATGTGATATGAATATCAACGGAATCGATTGAAACAATGAACTCCTATCAACAAATTATATCATGCTAACTAATATTTAGATAATTTAGATGGTTAAAAGTGCCATAATGAGTCAAAAATACACATAAATGAGCAAGTATGAAATTATGCTGTTATCAGGGGAATTTATTCACTTTTTGGCTCTAATCAGGTTGCATTCAGAGGTAAATCTGCAGTAATTTGTTGTGACACTTGTTTTTTATGGTCATGGAGAAGTTCGTTATTAAGAGTAATAGATGGAATCACATAATCTACAAAAAACGATTTTAAAAAAAACTGAGTAAACAAGGCAAGAAACTTTACCAGCACAAGCCATATACATTTGGGGTCCGCCATTTAAAAAAACTGTGACAAATGTGGAATCATAACAGTAACATATAATACTTAATCGGATTTTGAAATGTGATTACGATTCATTACCTTTACTTTCAAAATGTCATTAAACTTGAACTTATGTATGATTCAATTTATCTCACATTAAAGAAGTTACATATTGGTAGCACAGATTTGTGTGCTTTTTTTGAATCAGTTTAAGCACCGAGTCAAAAATTACGCTCAAAGGCCCTTCAATATGTATAATCTTAGACATGGATTCAAAAATCCACATAATAAGAATCATAGAATGGATATAATTTCTATCGTGGCACTTAATTTAAGGCTACTAAAATGTGGACTTAATAGCGCACGCTTTAACGAACATGTGATTTTTGAATTCATCTTAACTGGTTTTTAATATATTTACTACTATTTTGTCCCTAAAAAAATATAGCAAGCCAATAAAAACGTAAGATGATTCAATACTCACTGCTCAAAATAGGCTCATTTCCAACGTTTTTGTTAAGTTGTGATTTTTAATCAGTTTGGAACCAATAACAATTTCAGATAAAAGACATTCCATTCCTTACATGCAATATAATCACCATAATCAATTTTTGGCGATCCCCTTTGTGAATAGTACTTTTCAGATTATCCTAGTGTTGCTTTCAATCTTGCATTTCTAACTGTGTTGATAATTGAATCATTGGAACACAAAAAACGATAACTCCAGGTGATATAAAGCACTAGAGACACCTGAATTCAAGGATCATGAAATTTTAATCGAATTTCTAAAGGTATAGATTAGATATATCAACTCAACAAAGACAATGACTATTTTTAAAACGCATTTAAAAAAATTCAATCTCTCTATGCCCACCTTTTTTGAACGTGTACCCCATATGGTTGGGAAAGTTCAACGACAAATATCAATGATAAAGGGGTGATGGATGTATGGAATAAGTTGCCCAGATGATTTATGATTACAGATAATCCAAGTAATGTAACAAATGATATTTGTAACCTAACCGTACCCCTCCCTCGGGAATTTGTGAGATCAAATTTCATCATTAAAACACACGTTAAACACACGTTAAACAGTTAAACTACTACGATAAGTTAAGTAAAAAAAGTCACAGCAAGATGACTGTTGAAAACACACGTCACGAGCAAACTTGTTAATTCGTAGTTCACTATTTTGTTATCAAACTCATATCATTACAGAGTTTCCCTCGGCATTTTGTACACGGCTCAAATACCACTTCTGTGTTGTACATTAGTTCCTGGTATGATTAAATAATGAAAGTAATTCAACGATAAAAACCCCTTTCAGCTTTCGGTGTTATTTATACATACGATCCAAGATAACGATTGAAAGCAATTACTATGGAATGATCAAATCTATAATAACTATAATAACGGCACACATTCAAGTTGAAAGATTCAACGTACCTTGAGACTGCAGGATGAAATTAAACAGATGAGTGTCCCTGACGATCTGACTGTTTTGGATTGCAGGCCAGAATCATCGATATAATTCCTCGCAAAAGCTATGTACAGCAGGGGAGACAGAGTCATTTTGTCAAGTAATCACCACTCTTAAGACTATTAGCTCATACATATTTGAACTGCCTGAAAAATTTTTTAAATGGACGTAAAGTACAACATTTGAAGACATCCATTTAAGATTACAATATAAATTTCATTTGAGGCCCCTGGATTCAAGGAAAATAGCATGTATCAAACAATTATGATTCATGTTTAGACACAGTTGCGTTAAAGTTAATGATAAGGTTCTTCGCCCACCAATCCGTAGGAGATAAGATTTTCAGGGTCAGCAAGATGTCCACCAAAGTATCAGTGTACTTGTCCCAGCACATTGTAAAAGGGAGAAAGGAGGGCTGTAACCAACACATATAACACACACGCTATAGACTGAGATTGTCTCATCCTAAACGCTTCTGAGTAAAGTTCGATTGAGATACCAAACCATCTTGGTTATAGAGGCCTGTAATTAGCCTCGATGTCAGGTTCCAGATTTGATACGTTCCTTCCTTATAGAACAACACATATAATATATGTGTATGACTAAAATCTAAAGATTCTAAACAGTAGTTAACAGATTAGATTTGATAATTTACAGCTAAAAACAGATAGGCGCCTATATTAGGCCGGCCGATCACATTTCGATCGATCGATCGAAATGCGCGGCTTTTAAGCGCGAAATCTAGTCAACTTTGTATATCTGTTTATCGAGGCGCGTGACAACTACGTATGTTTTTAAATGCGACCACAACATCTGGTCCCACTTAATTGACTGCCAGTGGTGCTGTGATACGCTGGTTTTTAACATTCGTGGAGCTGATCATAACCAAGTTTTATTGGATATTTTTGTATTTGGTCAATACTCCGTTAAATCTCCGTTTTCAGATGTAAATTAAAACACTAACCGTCAACAACTCTTCGAACTTCTCCTTGACGTTTTGAAGGAGGTAAACAGTTGGTTTGTCAGTACAGAAGACAAGCATCTCGAGAGTCTTGTCTCCCTTTAGGAGGAGACCGTTAGCCAAGTCTCCAACTCTGACACAACCTTTTAACACCCTAGTCTCTACTACCTCCTCTCCCTCGACTGGCTCTTTCAACAGTCCTGCAGGATATCAAGAATTAAACTTCAACCGCAAACGTAATTTTAGGGACATTGTATTAGTTGTAGGGACATCGTCAAGCTACGTGTAGTTCGCTAGAAATGTTATACAAATACTGCAGTAGATCTATTGATCTTCGTATTAGAACTTATCAAAATATACAGCACAGTGACTGAAATAATAACCTTTGTCTTTGAGTTCAGCTTCAGTTTCATCTCTCATTGTATCGGAGATGGTTTTCAGATTATCCTCAGTCACTTTCACAAGGTTTTTAATGTTAGTCAGCTCAGTAGGGTCGGGGTATATCTCATCATGCAGCTTCATTATCAACTTGTTGTCGTTGTTATCTCCCTCGCGAGACGCCTGTGGTAATTGTGTCGAACAAATTGTAATTCAAATATTTAAAATCATACATGGTATATATGTCAGCTGGTGTTAAAATAAAATAAAATAAGAGAACAAGTAGATAACTCGTTGAATGACTACTCACGAAGCCAGCTGATTGTTGAACTTGACCGGGTGTTATCTCACTCTGCTCTGTCTCCTGCCACTGCTTCCACTCCTCTTCTCTTTGCTCTTGCATGTTTCTCCACTCTGTCGACACAATAAGTCAATTAATATCCAATTAAAATTCAAATAAAATCCAATTAAACAGACATTTCTTAAAACTAGATTAAGTTCCTTTTTCTCACCCTCTTCTCGCTTCCATCTCTCTTCCTCCCACTTGCTACGTCTTTCGTCCATCATCTTCCTCCTTGCTTCTATCTCCTCCAGACGCTTCTTAGCTCGCTCTTCTGCTTGTTGATTACGCTTGTTCTGCAAATTATTGTCATTACCACAATTCTGTTATCATCAATCTCAAAGTTATTTCAGTGAAATCTATATTCTACAACAGAGGTACTTAATATTTCATTGAAAAGTGCTGAAAACTATGGAATAATGATCCACTCAATTTCTTGAAGTAATTTATCAAATTCTTACCCTTTTCTCAGTTCTGTCAGCTTCCTCTTTGGCGATGCGTTCGGCTTTTTTCTAAATGGAGGATAGTTATATTAAACCGCAACTAAAATTTAAATTGGATATTATTCAATACGTAAAATTCTTTGAAATTTGCTATCAATGAAGGAGGAAAACATCATTAGTCATTATCAAGGCATCAATCTTTCAGATTTTGGCGAAAATTGAGGACATGGTAATTACCGTTAAACTACCTTTATTTTCAGGATAGAAAAGTTAATCTTGATAGGAACATATTCTATATGTTTAACATTCGCAAGAAAAAAGATAAAACATACTGGAATAAGAAGTGCCCCATTGAATGTAGCTACATAAAATCAGCAAAATGGAACACTTCTTAAAAACGATGCGCGTCTGTCACACTGTAACAGTATGTGTAAACAAATATTATTTACCGCAAGTTCCTCTTTGACCTTCTCAAGATCAACTTCTTCTTTTTCTGAAGAATAACCAGGTCTTCGCATTGGTTACAATTATCTCTTCAGTACATGAACCCAAATGTCCGAGTCTGTACAGAATTTACCCGAAACAGAGTTGCATGGTTACCATGGTTACATGGTTCCTGTAAGTAGCTCTACAGGATGCAAGACTGAGTGAGAGCATTTTGCGCAGGCTGGATCAAATGGGCATGCACTGGGTAAAAATAGCTTCCAAATTATATAAGGAATTAATATGATTTATAAATTCATTTTCTCGTGATATGAGAGAGATATCATTGGGGTCACATAAACTTTAATAAAATTTATCAGTATTGAAGGTTAAACAGACTGATCCCTTCTTTTTTAAACAATTCAAGGTTTAAGAAGACACTGGCCATTCCTTTAGTAGAAGAGCTCTTAGATAATACTCTTTTGTTAGTTTCAAGTTGTGAAGCTAACGGGGCAAAATAAATCAGACTTTTAAAAATATTCATAAATTCACGATCAAAGAGATGGAATCTTTAAAATTTCAACAAAACATTTCATAGTGATACCAAGTACACATCGCAATAGATGCAAGTGAATGTTATCAATGCGGCAATGCAAAATTTATTTAAGTAATTTTGAGAAAATTTTGGTGCTAAAAAGTTTTATTGAATATGCTATACCTCCTTTGTTGTTAGTTACAGTTGGGTTAGGAATAACTTTCCCAAGTTTCCTAAACAGCAGAACAGTCTGAAAAATGTGATAGTTGTTATTACCTACTAAACATTGCCTATGATTTATCATTTCTTCAATTTCTTTTTATTACCAAAACTATGAAAAGTCTAATAGGAAATGTATTGATAGTTGGTGGGTACGTTTCCTGCTAAATTTCTTAAAAATAACTAGGAGCTAACCTTACGAGGTAAAAAATTTAATCTTACGGTAGTTTCTCAACTCGAAGTTTGAAACTGTGACTACCTCTACCTCATAAGAGAAGATAAAAAAGTAGTGATCAGACACGATATAACCGTTGTACTGTGTAAAGTATACTCTGTGTACTACCTTGTTATGCTTGCTGCCTGTCATATGAGCAGAGAAAGCTTGTTCGCCTGTACAGCTTATGTCACACAGTTCACATCTGTAAAGTTTACCGAAGGAATGGTAACCACGTGCTGGCTTGTTATCACCTCCTTCCTTCTCCTTTTCTTTCTTCTTGTGCTTCTGTCCATTACAATGCTCTTTGTAAGTCTGAGCAAAGTTAGAGTAAAAGTTAGGCAGGTGTGACATGTCTGTAAGATTAGGTGATACAACTGGTTCAGTAAGAACGAAAATTTGGTTCTAGTAATATAAATTTAAATTCAAACTAAAGCTAAAGTAAATTAGAAAGTTAAAGTAATTAACAAGCAGTCCATAAATATAACTTACCAAAGCACCCATACAGCTAACTTTGCAGATTTCACAGTAATATGTTCGAGGAGGTTCTTTTCCAGCAGCAGCATTTGCTTTAGTCCGGTTGTACCAGTTTTGCTTGGTTAGTTTTGTTTTGGAGCCTTCATGAGAACCACGGTTAGCAGTTGCAGCAGATGAAATAGCTGCAGCTGTTGCTGCAGAAGCCCAATCAACCTGAGAAATGTATTATTCCATTAATGTTAGCCATCAGAATAAATATGTTTTTGGGTATGTTTATCATTTCAAAGCATGTTTCCAAAAGCACCTTATAATTTGTTAATTAACAATTTACATAGTTGTAAGTGGTGGAGGCGGTACTCTGAGTGGTAGCGGTGGGGTTGAGAGTATAGGAAGTGTACGTAGTTCCAGGAGTTGTGGCTGCATAAGCGGTTGATACACTTGCCCCCGGGGCAGGATATGTATTGTAGGTAGTTTCTGCACCTGATTATGAAAGTACTGGTTATCAGACTATTCTGATAGGTACTTTTGTACTAATATGTGTACTGTGTAGTGACAAAAGTAATTTATTTAACTTGAAATCAATTAAAGCAATCTGAGGATCATGTGATAATTGAGATACTACTGTTTAAATTTAGTAATTTAAGGAAAGAATTACCGGTGATAGTAGAATAGGTGTTAGCATAGGGAGACGAATATGTTGTTGAGTTACCAAAGTAACTACTGTAGTCACCCATAATTTGAACTACCTATTGGTATATTGTGAGTAAATTAAGTTTAAAGTAAATTAACTTGTAAGTTTAAAATTTAAAGCTACTGTTCAAAGTGCACAGGAGTGGGGGATCGTGTTTTTTTTGTCCGTTTTTGTCCGTGTTTTCAGAAAATAGGGTACCGCACGGACAAAAACGGACAAAAATTGTAACTTTTGATTTAAATTGTCTCCACAATTTGTAACAGGCTATCTGCAGAAACTCAGAAATGGGTAGCACGGTTAATGACCATGGTCCTTTCTCAAACTTTCAATCCTCAGTTAGGTACAAAGAATAATCTACACATTTTTTAATAATATAAAAAGTGATGAAAATCACTGAATGTCTTCACCGAATGTCTTCTAATTACTGCACTATAGGACCAATTCAGACTTATAAGACCATCAGAGCATTCTTATAACTCCACTTGTAGAGAGTAGTATGACAGAACTACTCAGAGTCAACTTTCGAGTTGCTTTGTCTAAAAAAGGTAAGAGCTTTCCCGGTAAGGTCAATCTATCGTCATTTTGACTGATATCTTCCTCCTCTTTTACAACGTCACTTATTGCCACAAATTCAGATTCCATTATCTCGACTTCATTGTCTGAGATTAGAGGTGAAGCAGTTTTGGACTGGTCTTTATGGTGTTGTTCTAAAAACTGCTTCATCCTTCTTTTTTTAAAGCCTTTTCAGTGATCCAGCAGAAGTTGTAGGGGGTGATTGAACAGAAGTCTCTGGGGATGATTGACCAGATTTGGTCTTATGAAGTCTCTTATTAATAATGATATTTTTGCTATTTATAATCTTTACAGATCCAGCTGTACAAATGATTAAGTTAGAAATAAAATGGCAATGAATACTTCATTTTTCTATAATTTTTCATCGCAGCCCCCATATTATTATGTGAAGTAATGAAATTGTGCTTCTCTGTCATACACCAAGCAACCTTGTTAATTAAGTTTTCTGCACTATCTGTACAAGGTGGAGGCCCCATAAGCTTTATCTTTAACTCATTTTGTATTCTGTTGTAATTTGCATCTGTGTTGCAATATCTTAACTTTAACTCATCGATTAATGAAGGCATCATGTAGCCTCCAGGCTCGACAAACCCCGACAAACCCCGACATATCCCGACAAACCCCGACATATCCCGACAAACCCCGACAAACGGGGTTTGTCGAGGGGTTTTGCCTCGGGCCCACCGGCTACATGAGGCCTTCTTGTATAGTGTTTTTTCCACGTAAAGCTTGATGACTCCGTCTCGGCTTTTTGTTGGGAGACTCAAAAAAAAAGAAAAAAAAAAAAAAAAAGAAAAAAAAAGCCTCCAGGCTCGACAAACCGGAAACCCCGTCAAACCCCGTCAAACCCTGACAAACCCCGACAAACCCCGACAAACCCTGACAAATCCCGACAAACCCCGACATGTCAAAATATGTCGTATCATGTCGGGCCCACCGGCTACATGATGCCTTAATGAACCGTGAGTTTCAGCTATTGCTTCTGATACAGCGATTACTAAGATGTCAATAAGCCCAGATATGCTCTTATGAGGGAAGTCTCTATATGAAGAAGCATTAACAAGGATACATCGGAGAGCTTTATAAAAGCTGGTCTTCGACTTGGACGGGAGTTTTACCAACAGGCTCTATTACGTGGCCAACAGGCTCGGATGGAGGGAAGAAAGACGGTTGTCTTGTAGAGAGTCTCTTTGGAGTTTGGACATCTCGTCCAAAGCTTGGCCTCTCACTCTGCTGCTGTAACAATACAGGTTTCTGCTGAGTTGTAGTTTGAAACTCTCCTCTGTACCACAAAGTTTCGCCTGCACACTAGCAGCTAGTAATACCCTTTCACAGTTCTTCTCTATGAGTTGTAGATGTCTGTGAAGACTTGAGAGTGCCGTTGTCATGGCTGTGAGGTCGATTTCCACAGTCTGGAGAAGGTTTCAGACCTGAAGGATGCAATGTCTGAGGAAGAAGGGTTGATTTATTCTAATAAGTTCGTTAAAACGAATAGTTGGAATTTGGAAAACTTTTAACTGTATTGTGACTCTTCAGCATAAATTATGGAATGATACATTGATAAAGTAATGAAATTAACTCACCCTGTTCGCTTTTGTCAGGATCTGCTCGCACAATATCAGAGTTATTGTGAACTCAAAGCTTCTTACTTGCAGGAGTAATCCAGTTGCTCTGGAAGCTCTGTCTCCGGTGAACAAGACTTTAGTCAATACTGAGCTGATAATTGCCTCCTACTGGCATTTGATGGCTCTCACACTTTCGTGTCTGAAGCTCCATCTAGTTGGACAGAGCCGTTTCAGTTCCAACCTGTAGTTGTTCATCTTTAGCTCCTGCCATCTCAAATAGCTGGACTCAATGCGTTATGTTTCAGCTGAAATTTGAAACATAATGTATGTATACTGTATACTTAAGTGGGCCTGTTCTCGTCATTCGTGTTTAGTATCTTACAGAAATGGGAATTAAACTGCTGATAAATAAATTCAAGAATGAACTGGCCACGATATGCATTGGACTATTAGATATAACTATTCAATTCCAATTTACCTGTCCCAAGCAATCAGAAAAATCCTTCACATTGATAATCGACCCAACAGAATCTTGGAGGACCAGGTTTAGGTTGTGTGACAAGCAGTGTACGAATGGCACAGGGTTCCAAATCTTCTGTTTGATCAAAGCTTGAACCTTGTTGTGTATTCCGGACATAACACTTGCCCCATCGTAGCCCTAAGCAAAAACGTGTTATCATTCCTAAGATATTAGATGCTAAGAGCTCTAAAATTTTGTTGATTCATAAGTTGTCCATTGTTGCAAAAAACTCCATCCATTTACATAATCTATCAATCAACTAAATAATAATTAATTATTGCTCATTGCTACTTACCTATTGCTAATAACTTATTGCTAATTACTTATTGCTAATTACTTATTGCTAATTATTCATTGCCAAAGCGTAATATTGATAGCTATCTGTGCAACCTTTTTTCTTTACGTACCTGTGCCCTTAGTTGATCGATACTTAAGCCTAGCTCTGCTATATTCTCTATAGCAGCAGTGGATACTGCCTCTGCGGAACTGGACTTCATAGGAACAAAGCCTAAAAAGCTTTCATCTATCTATATCGTAAAGGCGTCTCCTTTCACTGATACGTATTACGTATCTCACAACAATACTCAGTTGATCAATCTGAAATAAAGATAACTTTAAGCTAATCTATGATTACCTGTAGTGATTAGTGTATAATCAAGGGCTTCGATAAGTAATTATATTTTCACTGAATACCGATTCATATTTCATGGACCATTGTCGAATGTAGTTTAGAACACAGTACAAACGCATAGATGTCTAATCATCACGTAACTGAAGTTTTGTAATGTTTGTGCTCACCTTGCTGATGTCAGTTGTCGAATCCAGGATTAGAGCGAAGAATGGGGTCCGCAGCAAAGAGTTTACGATAACTTTGGTGGTCTCTGCACCTTTAAGAACTATAACCTCGTTCTGGATGGTTGGGCTGAGGTACCGGGTTTTCCCTTTTCAGTGGAGATGACTGTCGAATTCGGCAACCAGGTTTACTAACTCTAGAAAATTCCCTCCAGAGGATTCAGTTTCTCCGATTATCTCTCGATATACCCGAGAGCGATGTTCATGCTCGCCGCACTCATAATTCAGCAATAAAACACTATACAAAAGATGTAATGTCGGAATGCTGTCTAAGCGTATTGAATATCAGCGTTGGAAGATGTTTGGTCATATACTCAGCCCTCAGAAGCCAGGGAACACTTCCAGCTCAAGTGGAATTATCACTCGCTATTGATTCTGACAATCTGTTTGTTGATAGATTAGGAAGACCGAGAATGAAATTGTTATCTATTTTAAGAAATGATTTAGTTGCACGAAATATGTTTATCAATAACTTTAACAATGAACTGAAATATATGGAAGCTTGCAATTTAAATGTTTTATGAAACAAAATTATTCAAACAATATACACATAATATAGCAATGACCCTATATAAAATCAACCCTTTAAGAATTCAAAAACTTCCCTTAACAATCAAAAATCTTTTACCCTTGACCTTGTGGCTCCAAGTTAAGATCTAGACTGTTTATATCAACAATGTTTTTTCTCGCACCTCTGTCTGCAATTTAAATGTTGAAACAATTTGTTTTAAGGTCACAGATTAGCACATTAAGCTAAGATATGTGATTTTTTAAATCATTTTGTTGTTAACTGGTGATACTCGTAAAATATTTGTTTCTATAATATTTATAAGACCGTCGACGAGTTCATTAACGGGTGACACTCGTAAAATATTTGTTCCATATATTCGACCGTCGACAAGTCCAACTCGGCGCGCGTCCTGGTAGGTTATAAACCTACAACAAATTCAATTCGGCACGCGTTTTGTTAGGTTATAAACCTACAATTTTGTTGATACTATTCTATTTAATATTAATAATAAATCCACAAAATTTAAATTTCATTGACATTCATGGACGATACTTGGAGAAACGTTTTCGATTTCAACAGTGTGTGTGTAGTCAGTGTAGCTTACGTTGCAATTATCGAGCTCTCTTATCTTTTGTAAATTGCGATAAGTTCAGTTTGCTGCTACCGCGTAGTTAGCCTTTGCGTGTGTACTTGTACATTCCTATACAAGTACATTATGGAGGATGATCGTAAGGTGACCCAATCTCTGGACCAAATTCAAGGATTCGAGTATGATGAACAGACAAAATTGAAGGACAGTGTTACTAAGTGGTTCATTACGCTGGGAAAAGAACTGAAAATCGACGACAGAGATATTTGTGGAGATATGGACAGAGAAATATTTATGGCTCCAACTGTCTATAAAAAGCATCTGGCACTTCGGCTTGTGGAAGCAATAGACCTCGTTCAACGGCATGAATGCCAGATGAGTAAAATGGAGGAGATCATATATTTCTTGAAGACGGAAGCGTTTGAAGACAAGGATAAGTTG